GACTCAACCCAACGCCTGAGGTGAACCCGACTCAACCGAGCTCAACCCAATGCCTCAGGTGAACTCGACTCAACTGAGCTCAACACAACGCCTGAGGTGAACCCGACTCAACCGGACTCAACCCGACGCCTCAGGTGAACCCGACTCACCCCGCCCAAGGAAGCCTTTTTTGGCTCGGAGCTCCAGCTTTGCTTTGTCCCGGCCACCAAACACCTCCTCATCTCTACCCAAGACTGTCCCCAGGCACCCCACAGCCACCCCCACCTCCCCCAAAGCCGCGTCCCAGGTTGGGCTCTCTCAGGTCTTAAGCCCCCAGGGTGGCGCCGGCTCGGCACCATCTGCCCCTTGACGTGAAGATGTTCCAGATCCTCCACGTCCAGTCACCTCGGCCGGACCCTCGCTTTGCCCCACCGGCAGCCGGCACCTGGCGCAGAGCCAGCCGAGTCCCACCGTGTCCCAAACCTGCTGGAGACCCTGTCTTAGGGCGGCAGAGGAGAAGCAGAAGATGAGAGGGTCAATGCAAGCGCTGAGGGTGGTGAGCAGCACGGCGTAGGCTCTCCAAGGTGGGTCCTCCCGCCGTAGGTACCCCACCACGTGGGAGATGTTGAAGGGGGCGAAGCAGAGGATGAAGGCCACGGCCGTGGCCGACGCCAGGGCCACCGCTCGGCGTCTTCTACCCGGTGCCGTGGTGGGGAGGGTGACCACGATGCAGATCAAGCGGCCGTAGCAGAAGGCGGTGACGGCCAAGGGTAGGCAGAAGAGCACCAGGAAGATCTCCAGGCGGAGAGCCAGCAGCATGGCCAGCTGAGGACCGGCGAAACGGGTGTAGCAGGCGGTGCCATTGACTGCCTCGTTAGGCTGGGCCACGTAGACCACGCTACAGTGGGCCAAAGCGGCCACCCAGAAGCCGGCAGCGGCCGCGGCGGCGTGGGTTGCCCGTCGGCGCCGGCGGTATTGGACGGGAAAGGCAGCACGGAGGTAGCGGTCAACGCTGAGGGGCGGTGAGGGGAGGATGGTGAGGTAGACACTGGTGAAGAAGAGGAAGACGAAGAGCGGGCAGAGGGCCGGTGGAAGCTTCCAGGTGGCCTCCCACGCCGCCTCGGCCATGCGGATGGGCAAGGAGGCCACCAGCGCTAGGTCGGCGATGGTCAGGTTGAGGAGGAGGACGTCGGCGGGCCG